ATATACAAATTTGCTCATACTGGCAGTCTCTCTCTCTTCACTGCTGCTCACTGCCTTTAGCTCTAATCTGATCTTTTCTTTCTCCCTTTTCATGACCCACAGCTCACCCTTCTGACCATCACGCACACTCCTAGTCAAGCGAATCTGCGGCACTGTGAAAATCAGCAGAGTGGCACACCGATCTGGTGTTACAGCAGCATGAGAACTAAGAGGCTTCTCCTAAACTGCTGTGCTGCTGCTGTTGCTAAGGAGAGCAAACAGGCAAGGAAGTGCCCAATACACCTAACAGCGGACTGAGTGAGAAGAGACAGAGATGCGGCTTTGAAAATCCCACTAGCTCTAGCAGCATACAACAGGGGATAACTTGAGAGGATGTGCTTGATAATTGCTCAAATGTTACTGCATCGAGATGATCTTGGGAACTGGGGAACTAAAATTGGATATTAATGCGAAACTAAACAAATCACAGACTGATGTTCTGAACTGAAAAGGATCTTGCAGACTGTTCCCATTATAAACTCCTTCCTTTCTTCTGCACAGTTACCAATTTTCTCTTGAGCTACTCCCTTCATCGCATGCCTAAGTATGACAGTCTGAGGAAGATTTCCAAAAGCAAAAATGGTATCAAGGCACCTAACTATCCTTGAAATGCAGTGACTGTTAAAGTACCACAACTACCACTGGGTTTTTGCATAACCAACAGCATCCCATCTCCTTCCTGGCCCTGGGCACATTTCAAAGTCTACTGACACCAATGATCAATGAACTACAGACATCCCACAGACCGACACTACTGGAACTCATGCTGCTTAGAGCCATTTAATAAATGTTCAGTATCATTTTCATGCATTTTACTTCTATCATAAATTATAGCATCCTGCAATAAGATGTCAGAGTGGCCCTCCCTTGTTCATCATCCTATACTGACACAATAGTTCACCCAGGTCTATACACAATACTTTACCCAGAAGAACAGTGCTGTAAGTTCAAGTCCGTATCTGGGGTAGACTGGTGAAAAAAAACCAGCTGTTTTCCAACAGCTGAGCATTTGGCCCATTTATTTTAGTTGTTCAAAGGCCTTAGACTGGCAAACAGATTTTAAGAGACTAGACACTAGATTAAAGAAATCTATCATTGATATCGGAAATACTAAGAGATGACATTATTTCACTAAAGACCACCTTGGAACCTGATTTGTATCAGTAGTAGAATGACTAAGGGCTTTTTCAATAATATTTTCTAAAAGACCCAACTCTAACTGATGGTTGGGCTTCACAGACCAAGACTACAGTTATTTTGCAAGATTTTAAGAGCATTATTATTACTATCATACTTTAACTATTTTTAAAACAATGCTTATTTTTTTAAAAAAAGACCTAAAAATTAAACTGCTATGTGCAGTTGTTACACCAGAAAAAAGTAGAAATACAAGCTTCCTTGCATTGCTCTGCTTGTGCACTTTTGGATGCTGACACTGCTGATGAGGAACATCTAATACCCTCTTTCCCATCTCATCCTTCTTTCACCAAAGACAGCCTATGGTGAAATCAGCTACTGATATTACAACATATTTGGTGATACAGACCCTCATCCATAAATCTATCTGTTTAGACAGAAAAAAAATTATCCTCCCAAAGTATTCCAACCAGACCCATCTTACAGACAATCACATCGATTTGCATGTTCCACTTCTCACATTAAATAGATGGATAGTGCTTAGTGAGTTACACAGCGTTACATAGTTGGTTCATCGCTATGTTGTAACAACACATCTACATTAAGACCTGGACCTCACCTTCCCCAGAGCTCCTGCTGTCAGTTGTAGGGGACACACAGAGAACACAGGTGCTTACTAGCTGTAAACCCTTGTTAGCTCCAAACATATCAGGCAAGGCCTGCACCTTACAGGTCAACAGGACCATGGTATTGGAGAAGCTCCAGCTAAAACTGAACTAGGGCACAACAGAGAGAAATAATACTGCTTTCGTCAGGGACAGAATCCATTCCCAAATGTTAAATCTCAGCACCTTACAAGCACAGATGCTGAAGGATTTAATTAGATGAGTTCTCAGAATCCATGAGATGGAGAACTTTTTTTTTTTTTTCTTCCTGCTCCTGCCCCGGAATGCCTTCCTTACAAAATCAGATTCGCAAATTTCACTAAAGAAGATAAACCTATTTCTGATGGACTGCTTATTTTGTCTTCTCACTCCATGAGAAAAGTGAGAAGAGATTTTTAGTAAGAAATTAATGCTTTATATTTCCCATCTATTCCTTCTGCATGTAGATCACCATATTTACACCATATCTTGAACATGAATTTTTTCTTGTTTAATTCTAGTTTGACACACATTTTCTGGTTATATGCAAATTCAAAGTAACTGAGGTGCTATGTTTAAAGAACAACATTAAAGCACTCCCAAAAGCAGATGTCAAACATTTAGCAGTTTAACTAACACAAAAGAACACCTACAGCCGCATACAAATACACAGTGTACGGTGGCTGCACACCATTTTCCTTTTGCCTCCCTCCTCACTAACCAGAATTGGAATTAGATATTTGTAATTGTTTTACCAGAGAAAAACCTGCTCTGAGAAGCACTCATCAGGTAGGCAATGCCAAATTAAATGTGCTTCGTACAACCAGAATTGACACCCTTGTACCTAAGCATGATGATATCGCCTTTAATCACAGAACACGAATTTCTCAAACGCTGTTTCTGTGCTACCTTTTTAAAGCTTTCAGATCCTTGATGTATGGCACTATGCAGGTACAGAAAAACTGTCATCACCACCAGGCGACCATCAATGGGCTTGCAAAACCTGGTCTGGGGCAAGACAGCTCTAAGAGCTCCAAGACCATCTCCCTCCACAGGCAATAAAAAATCCTGCACCGGTTCTGAATGCACCACCAGCACTCAGGAGCACTGTAGCACAAGGCCATTTATCATGGTGATTGCTCATCCTTAAGGCCATGGTTAGAGCAAGGCCAGCTGTCAGGTGAGAAAGGCGGGAAGCAATCCCCAGGAGCAAGCTTGAAGAATAGCCTTTGCTGTCTCCAGGCTCTGGCTAACAGAAGCGCTACTGAGGTCATGAGAATGGGCTGGTGTCCGTTCTCACATCCACATCCTGGGGAAGGGGAAGAAAAAAGAGGTGGAGCTAATGAAGGAGAGCAGGTTAATACTTTAGCGCCAGCACAAAGAGAGCAGGAATTGTCCTGACAAAGATAAGTCTGAAAGCATACCCTAACGTTACCCTGGAGTTGTTTATGAGGCCATCAGTGAGCTTTTTATTCAATGACTAGCACACAGGTCCTTGATCTGCAAGGAGCCCACAAAGCTGTAGTGAGCAAAATAATCAACCAAATAATTTTATTAATTTATTTTCTTCTGTCCCCACTCCAGCCCACCAAAACACTAGAAACTCAGACCTGACCCATAAATTTCTCTGTACATGCATAACTCCTTCCTACTGAAGTCACTGAGACAATTCACAAATTACACCTTGCTGTGCCTGTGGGACAAACATTTTACTTCCGCCCTAAAATTATAACCTCTTACTTAGATCACAACTAAAAGTGAGATGAATTACTTGATTCTCTGCCTGAGCACCCTGCAAGTAACTAGTTTCAGCAAGATTCACAAAACTTGAGGACACTCAGGACACCAAGAAAATAGAATTGATGAATAAGAGACATGGGAAAGCTTAGTGCATATGTGAAAGTGTGTTGCTCAGTTTTACATACACATCAGCAACAGACTGTAACCCTGCTGCCTCATCAGTGTTTAATTAACTTTTCCTATTTTAAAAAATTGTTCTCTTTCCTTCATAAAAAACATAAAAAAAACCAGGGAGACATGAATGGCTACACAAAACCAACAAAACTGTCTACAATATTCTGTTCAATTGCATAAATAAACAAACTGGGGAAAAATCCAACTTAGAGTAAATTTATATGGTATCAAATTCCATCTCAGACTCGAATTGGATCTTCCCGTTGATCGTGTCCATTTGAAAGAAAAAAATACAGGTTACAAAGTTATGTTTAATTATAAAATGCAAGTGTCCTATTTCATAGCCTCTGAATAAGAAGTATCTGAGTATCATTATAAATGTCATTAGGGCACTAAGGCCTCAGTTTTGAGGGTCTTCAACCACAAGGTGTCCTACCATCTAAAGACACCTGCCACACAAACCATTAAATTGCCGGAAACACAGCATGCAAGCACAAGGCAAAAGAAACTGAAAAACAAGTGAGCTGATGCTTCTTGTCAGGCAGAAGCTGCAATTCAAATGTTTGTTTGGAATCATTGCTATCTCCACACACAACACAACGTTAAAAATAACGCAGAGTCACGCATCTCACAAAAATCGATGTACAGTGTTTTTTGAAGCCTGCAGTTCCCTCCTTATGCTATAGTGTAGCACTGCTCAAGAGAAACAGGCAAGCTTGGAGAATTACGGACTAGAACCAGTGAGAAATGTACAACTGACATTGGCAGTGGCTGGGAAAAATGACATTTATTTCTACTAAGTGTGACATTTTTGAACAAAAATGCCATTCTCCAGAGAAAATATCTAGTTTTGAAGAAAATTTGCTGGCCCAAACCTCCCCAAATTCTCATTCCCACCATCTTTTTCTGCATGAAACATAGCTCCCTTGGGTTTATAGCCAGATCCAACGAAGACAACAGATTTTCTTTACTGAAAGTTTTTAACTGGATGTGGCAATTCAGAAAGCTGAGCAGAAGATAATCAGCGCATCATGCTCAGAGCAATCACTCAATATATTCAGAATGGTAGATAATTATATTAGTATTAAACATAATAGACATACATAAAAATCAGGCATAAATGCAGGCATGTCACTAGCATTAACTGCAGGTTTACTTAAACATTTCAGACATCCTACCTCGTTATTGACTTCAGCAGGTTTTTTCTTTGTTTCCCCAATGTCCAAATAGCTGTAGAAGGAAAAAAGTTTTGATTATTTACAGAACCATCTAACTTACATAATACAAACATTTCTACACTTTTTCATACGTTAAGCTTTTAAAATTTATCATGCCTCAAAATAACATAAAAAGTAACTAATTCAAGATTTTAATGAAGGAGTTTTAACATAAATCTGCAGGCTGGCCCTCTGGGCTAATACAAAAGACAGAGGAGAACCAGCCATCTACCTTCAAGTCACTGGTGTTTAGAACAGACCATCAATAACCCCCTTACCAGAAAGAAACTCACATACTACTGTGAGGTGGATCAATAAATCTGAGCGCAATATCAGCCTACCAGAGTTTTCAAAGCCATCATCTTGCCTCTTACTTTCTCACAGTAAGTCCCTCATCAGAACTTTCCTCCATACCCTAGTTTAACCCAGGAGCTCAGCTAAAGTTTAAAAGGATCTACACCACTCCTGTTTCAAGAGGACGTGGACACATCTGAACACTGTATATCCTAGTTTCTTGTGGTTGGGACAAACCAATAGCATCTTTGCAATTATTTTATGAATAGACAAAATATAAGCCTCAACTGGACAAGAAAAAAAAACCACATCTATTTGAACAATACTGCTCTCCATCAGAGTACATATTCTCACAACAACATTGCATTAACACCAAAGTGTTAGTTAAAGCACACAGTGATGGATAAGCTGTATGTTGCTTTTCCAAAGAAAGGGAATTAAATAAGCCTTCAAGCACGAGTAACTCACAGACTAGCAAACAGGCAACAGTCCAGGTACCCCAACTATGCTAACTCCTTTCCCTTAGCACTCTGAGAGACATGAGAGCAGTTCTTCTCATGAATGCAGCTCTCAGTAGTTGCCGGTACTACAAGATGTTTCTAGTTCTCAGTGCTGTAGGAAGAGATACGTTTGGGGGCAGTTAGAACTCAGGACAGCAGCACCTTTCAGCACCTTCTGCCAAGAGCTAAACATGAGAACAAAAATGGCTGGGGCATCTATTCTACACCAGTAGCATCTAACTCAACATTAGGCGATGGGCATTTGTTACAGGTTCTCCCTATTCCCACTTTAGTGGGAAACCACAGGTGCTTTGCCAGGCTTTTAAGACTAAAAGACCCTATCTGAGAACATCAGGTATACCCGCCGGCAAGCAGCAGTGCAGGCTCACCAAAAGACCTCCAAGCTCGCAATGCATCTGCAGCCCTCCAGTAATGTCATGCTCTGTAGTTGAAGGTGTAGAAGAAAAAGAAAAAGCATCGTTCATTCTTTGGAGGAATGGTAAGCATTTACTAAGGTACCACGGAATGGTCACAAGGATTTCAAGGCTTTAGTGTGCAGGAACAGTAAGACACAGCAAGGCTTCCAGGCAATGCTTGAAAGCACATGGCAGAGCTTCAGAAAAGGCAAATGAAGCAATGTAGGACAATGTTTAAAAACAAAGTGTCCAAACCTCATGTTTAAAACCAAAAACAACTGTTGCAAGCCTCTCCACATTGAGCGGAAGGAGTTTTCCTGAGACCAAAAAAGAGAAGTCTTTAGCCTACAAGAAATAAAATGTCTCAGACAAAGCATTTCCAACAGCCTATAATAACAGCTGCTGACTGTGGTTCTTGTTTTCTGGGCATCTGTGAATTACTTCAAGAAGGACTAAGCAGCAAAGAAAAGCAAGTATATAGTCAAAGCCTTAAATTCACTATGCAGAGGTCTGGGCATTCAGTTGTCAAATTTCAGGGATCTACAAATCCGAAAAGGTCTAAATAAGGCCAAAGACTTTTCTTGGGAGAACGGCACTCAACAAAATCCCAGACCAAATACTTAACAAAAGTATTACCACTTGCTAAGAAAGCAAAAATACTCCCACTCAGTGACTATCCAAGCCAGTGATGAAACTACAGCGTTGTTTAAAGAGGCACTGCTGGAGAGAGGACAATCTGCCATTAATTAATGAGCACAGATACAAGTATATGGGCAAAGGAAGGAGGAGGGTAGAGTAGCACACTATAAAAAAAGCTAAAAATCAAAATCAGCTCCAGCATAGACAGTTTTCTTTCAGGAAGCTGAGAGTCAGGGAAGAACTCCACAGGGGTGCAGGCCTGAATGTGCATTCTCATTCCCCACTGCAACAACTACAATATCCCAACACACCCTACCACATACACACCAAAAACGTGTATTGACTTAGCACACCCGTAAATGACAAGACGAGCTGGGAAACTTGTCATATATTACGAAAATTCCCAACATTGGCTAATAATTCTTCCTTTAAAAAAAACTCTACATATTTTCCTAAAAGCAGAATTTTTAAGTGCTAATTATTTTTATTTTAAAAATGAAATGTATCAGCAGTTTATATTAACTGTATAACCTCAGAGGTATCTATCTCAAGATGTTAAGATTCAGGGCTTGGAATGACAGAGGTTCACATGCTGAAGGTAAGCACAGTTTAGTCTAGAATTCACTGTGGACAGGGAAGAAAAACATTCAGTTCTCAGCATAAGGCGTCTGAGAAGAAACAAATGCACTGCTGGCAGTGGAGCAATGACACTTTCAGGTTCTGCTTCTCTTTGCATACTCTCTCCTTTCCATTATGCTTCCACGCCTCAGAGCCACAAACTTCCATTTCAGAGTTCAGCCCTGCAGAGTCTGTCACAGCAATGACTATGTCCAACAAGCATCACTGCAAAAAAAAAAAAAAACTGTGAAAAATGTACAAACTTCTTGCTGCAATCAGACCAGACTCTCATCATTTAGGGCAGATGCTTTGGTCTCCCATAGCTTCAACTGCTTTATCTTTGCCTGTGACACATAGACAAACATAAGCTCTTTTCTTTAATTCCTTCAATTCCTTACAGACTACTGTTCCTTTCAACTAACCCCTCCTCTCCTCTGACTTTTCTGGCTAAGATGTCTCCCTAAATATCATTCTGTTTACAACCCAGTTAAGAAAAGATCAACATTAAGCCCTTCAGCCTGTCTTAAATAACATTTGTAAATGCACTGCCAACATTTACAGCACGATATAAATAAATACGAATAATAAAGAACTCCAATTCCAAATGCAGAACTGGAATAGATCTCAAGTCATCCCGTTTATCCTCCCTACGGCACAGGACTACAGCATACTATCAAGAGATGTATAAAACCAAATCCTTTAGGTTAGATTTTCTTAAAGTATTCTCTTTGTCGACCTTAAATACTTGAGTATCTTCTTGCATGTTGCAACCATTAAAGTCTGAAAAGCTCACACCATAACACTCTGACCACAGAACATAAAATGACAAAAAGAGACGCTTTTTCCCACCCAAAAAAAAATCCAGAGTGCCCAATTCTCTACACAGTGCATGCTAATGCCAAACACTTACTTTTAGCCTGTCTGTCGAACATAAAACACATTTAGGGAGCTGAAACGTGATGGGCTGACAATTAACAACTTTAAGCCATGCACCGAATCACAGGATACCAAAAAGATATTGCAGATCTTTCTCAAGAGTTGAGCACTGCATTTGACATGGAAGAGTACAGAGGAAAAGGGGTTATATTTAGCCTGTCACACCTCTTCCTCTCTAGCTTTGCCACTTAAGTGCAAGAAACTTCAATAAACCTTCAGCAGCAGTCAGTGACAAAAACCCTGAGTTTCTGAGTGCTGACAGAGATCCTGTTCACAGTTTCGTCCTGAAACTTAATGACGTCTCCTGAGAAATGTAGTGCCCTCAACTCCACAAAATCAAGATGAATGAGGTCCTGTAAAGCTGGTAGTTTAGCATATGAGTTCCCAACCACCACCAATCCCAACCACTAGAAAGGCATTGTCAATTTTGAGATTTTTTTTTTTTTAATTCAACTGTAGGAAAAATGCCCCTAAAGACTGAACAAAGCGTATAATTAGGCAACTGAGACCATGCAATCCACTGCCAGAATTAAGAACCTGATCACATGCAGAGCCACTTGGGAGGCACACCGAAAAGCCCAGATCTCCTCCACAGTATTTTTCCAGTCACTCACTAGAAAACAGAAACTCTCAGCTTAATTCTTGGTGTCCAGGCAGGGAAAAGAAAGCAGTCAGTCATCTCTTAAATAACAGGGGGGACTCTGCTATTCTGGTCATAAAAAGGCTATATACCTACCAGAAACTAACAGAAGTGATGGAGAGGTGGATAGCTGGGTAGAATATTTCAGACTTTTTAAAAATAAGCAAGAAAGGAAGTGTTGGGAATTAAATTCCCAGGGTCCTCAACTTCACAGCAGGACTGTCAATACTCCACCTTTCTACAGCTTTCTCCCTGTTACCACCGAGCATGAACACTGACACCCGTCCCTCG